GAGCAACCATGCCTGGGAATTCGATCGGCGTGACCACCTCCCACCGCTGCGTCTCGCTGCCCGGCGGCGCGTCCTCGTCCAGCCGACGGCAGGACTCGGCCTGGGACATGAGGATTCGCAGCGCGTCCTCCTGAGCAAACCAGTCGCCAAGCGGCCGAGCGCGTGTCGCCGCAAAGGGCTCGCACCGTGCCTCTGACTGCGCGACGAACGCGATTTCGCGAGCGACCACGGCGTGATGGCGCGCGCGTGTGGCGGGCGCCAGCGGGTGACCGTTGAGCACCGGCGCCCGCGCCAAGGTGAAGGCTGTGGACGAGTGAAGCAACCACGTCAACAGCATGGATCGGCGGTGGCGGGGTTTCTATTTGGGGAGGGTACCCATTCGGTGCTGGTAGCGCCCTAACGCTGCTTCATGAAGCAGCGTTAGGGCGCTAACGCTGCTTCATGAAGCAGCGTTAGGGCGCTCTCGTCACGGTCGGGCGTGCGAGGCTCCTGTGCCTCCGGTGAAGCCGATGCTCAGCCCTCTCCCACCGTCGCGGTTCGCCCGTCACCTCGCCTCTCCGCAGGGTTCATCTCTCGCGCCGTCTGCATCTCTCCGCCGGTCGCCAGCACCCGCGCCACCGACTAGCTGCACCGCCACTCGCGACGCGCCACCCTCGCGCACAGCCTGCATACGCTACTCCCGCCGTGCCTTTGCTACCACATGGATCGCATGTCACTGCAAACGCGCCCGCAGCCGCGCTTTAAAGGTCTGCCGTGCTGGCTGACTCTCACTCTCCCGCTCCTATTGCATCTGCCTCCCGCCTCCCAGCTCACATTTCACGCTGCAGTAGGTGCTCCTGTCGACGCTGCCGCCGCTGCCACCGCTACTGTCACCGCTCGTTTGATCATCGACGTCACGCTTAGCGGCAGCGAGATCCGAGGTTCAGTCAACTTGCCTGGTGCGCTCTTGCGCGTGCCTTCAAGATCCACAAGTCAATTTGTACCAGAAATCCAAAGGTGGCGCAAAATGGATATCTCAAGATTGGCCTTTATTTCGCGCACCTGCTCTCCGCCGCCGCCGCTTACCTGCTGGCACGCCACCGCCCCGCGTCGCTAACTCAAGCCTCCCTGCTGCATCTTCGCACCCCTGCCACATGACTCGATCGCCGTCGCTGCTACCGCCCTCTCCGCCGCCCTCGAAGGCGCCACCAGCATTACGGCCGCCTTCATATCTCATTGATGCTGCCACCAACGCCACTTCCTCGATTCTGTGCCGCTGCAGCGGCGAGGCGCCGTCGCCACGATCGCCGCCAGCGCTGCTGACAGCCTCGGAGCGTCGCCGTGGCCGCGTTCTGGTCTGCCCACGCTTCCCTAAAATGTCTAGGACGAGCTCAGAGGCTAAGGGCGCATCCTGTGGGACCATCTAGCTCTACTGGGTCCGCGACGGCGGTCGGCGCACCCCCGTCTCGAACGTGTGTGCTCTCTGTCTGTCTGTCAGCTGTTTCGGCTAAGTCGTTTTGTACCGGATTTCAATGTTAGTGGCAAAACCGCGGAACCAAAAATGGCGTTTAATTTCGCGCACCTGCTGTCCGCCGCCTGCGGCGGCGCTCCGCGCCGCTTGGGGCGCCTGCGGCGCCCCTGGGCGCGCTGCGCGCGCCTGTTTTGGGGAGGCTACCAGCACCGAAAAATTGCCTTTTTATTTCCCCATATCAAGGTCCTTCGGGCCGTTTCGGCGGGCAAACCCCGCCCATCCCCTAGAACCCCAGGTAAGGCCCAGATTGGCCTAGGGCATCAGAAGGGACCAAGAGGAGTCCAGTCTGAGCCATAGAGCCAATGTCTTCGCCCTCGAGGGTCGCGTTCAAATGCCCGGACGGACGTTACAGTGGAGTACTAGTTCCTGGAAACTGCTGGAAACGCAAAGTGCACCCCTCTTTCCCTCTGGGTTGCCGGAAACCCTTGGACAGGCCAATGCTCTAGGGAAACTAGCAGGAAACACGGAAAGGAAACCAGGTAGGGTGCGAGGAAACCCTTGGACAGGCCAATTCACAGCGCTGCACCTCGTTGTTTGTCGCCCCCCCGCGCCGTTGTCGAACCGCGTGCCGCCGATCGCGTCACGGGACGCGGCACAAACAGGGCACAAACGCCAGGCTACAACGCAGCGACCTTTAAAATCGCTTCGCTACTTTCGTTCGAGTTCTCGGAGCACTTGGAGCGGGAACATCGTCATCGACATCGCCACCTTCGTTGTCGAGCTCATATGCGCGATCTTCTCCTTCCAGGCGGCTCAGGCGGTCAGGGCCCAAGCCCTCCCCACCACTACGGGCGTGCCCGTCGCGAAGCCCGTCTAAGGTCGGCAAATGCCGTTGCGATCTCTGCCTGGCCGCCCACAAAAGAATTTTACCACCTAGAAGCGCGAAAAAATCTTTTTCCCGCGATGTCTGCCCCGCCGCGCCGCCGCTCGCGCCGCCTCGCCTCCGCCGCCACCGCCGCCCGCTCGCCAGACACGCCGCCGCCCGCCCGCCTCCTCGACCTCCCCACGGAGCTCCTTGCGCGCGTCTTCTCTCGCTTCGACGGCCCCCTCGACATCGCTCGCGTCGCGGCCGTCTCGCTGCTCTTCCACGCCTCGCTTGCGGTGGAGGGCATCCGCTTGTGGGCGCAAGAGCGCGGCTTCGAGCTGCCGGCGCAGCCAGAGGACGAGAGCTGCGCCGTGCGGTGGCTGTGCTATTCGGCGCTGCTGCGCGAGGCCAACCCTCCGGCGAGGGCGGCGGGAGGCCTGTATCACAGCCTCTTCATCGACGGCGAGGGGCGGCTCTCGTCGTGCGGCAGTGAGGCAGACTTTCCAGGGCCGCTCGGTCAAGGTGAGGGCGTGACGCGGCTGAACACGCCGACCCGCCTCCCTGCATCGCTGGGTGAGCGCGCCGTGAGCGTGTCGGCCGGAGACGCGCACAGCCTCGCCCTCACCGCCGGCGGCACTGTCTGGAGCTGGGGCAGTGGAGGGGAAGGCCAGTTGGGCCACGGCGACCAGCAGAACCAGCTGCAGCCCAAGAAGATCGAGGCCTTTGCAGGCCAGCGCGTCGTCTCTGTTTCGGCGGGAGGCGAACACAACCTCGCCCTCACCGCCGACGGTGCTGCGTGGAGCTGGGGCAATGGCTGGTTAGGCCACGGCAACCAGGAGGAGCAGCTGCTGCCGAAGAAGGTTGAGGCGTTGGCTGGGTGGCGCGTCGTCGCTGTG